TCACATAGCACCTTATGTTGTAGTTACCTCAAACCAGTCTTATTTGCATAATATGTAGCATAAACTCTTCCGGGGAAGAGGCAAAGTCTCAAGGCAGGAAAAAAAAGATCACCTTACCTTGGTGGCAGCATCCCTCAATACACTGAATACCTTTTCTAAATTTAACAGTGAGTGTTTCTCACACCTTCATGGTCCTCATTCTATAACTGTCCAGATTCAACAATAACAGTAAGAAAGTTTTTTTTTCCTACTATGTGCTTTTAGAGTTAAAAAATTGCTTTCTTCTGTCAAGTAACATATATTCTTGCTAGATTTTTGTTTTGTTTTTGATTTTAAACAGTCTTGACCATTCAAGACACTGGGGACACCCAGTAGTTGGGAGAGGAGAGGTCAGGTTTGCCAAGACAGCTCCAGAGAGGTGGTGGCTATTAAACTTTTCAAGGGATGGCCCTAAACTCTAAATGTCCATCCGACAGGTAACAAACTAAAGTTTTTGATCCAATCAAACACTGACATTTGAAGTTCCAATCATGGTGGATGAGCTTATAGTGAATGGCCATTCTCAGCATCACAGGAATTTCTGGGCTCAGCTAAATTAATGCAAAGATCTTGGAATCAGAGTCTTGCTTCTGGGTCGGGTAGGGACTTGAGGACCACCTTTAGGTAGAAAATGGCACCCAGGCCTAACTAGCAAGGTTACTAGTAGAGACTTGAAAAGCTGTGAGGTTGTTGCCAGAGATATGTAGGCAGAGATTTCATTAATGTGCATATCTTTGTTCCAGGCTCTCTTACTCTCTCAGAGAGCACATTTTCTGTTTTTCCTTCAGCTACTTCTCTCTGGCAATGATATTTTTGGTCCCAACTGTACTTCATATTTCCCAGACACCATCCCCTTTGTATGTTTTTCTTTAATCCAATACAAAATATCTAGAACCAATCTGAGTAGTGAGCAAACTTCACCTTTCATCTCACTGAAATTATACCTGCTTCTGCCAGGTACAGTAGCTATGACACCAGGCCACTGCTTTCCTGAGCCCCTTGTTGCTATGTTTGAGGTCCAGGTCAGGTTTCCTATTGCCCCTTTATGCCATGTGGGCCTTAGGGTCTACCTACTCCCTCTTTAGATTCTAATCCACAATACAACAGCTCATTAGCTACCACAAGCCCCTGTAAACCAAAGATATTACCTCTTATGGTCTTTGAATTTCATGAAACATCATGCCTCACTTTTGGTTTTACAGTAGAAAAGAATTTCAAATTTTAAGTGTGAGAAAGTATAATGGTTCAAAAGGAAAAATTCTTGGTGCTTCGTGGCGTTAAGTAGAATCTCTGAAACTTTTTAAATCCTAAGGTAACCACTGACTTCAAATTGTAAATATTCTTTATGAAGAACAGCCCCACCTCCTGGCTCCCTTTCTTATTTATGAAAGAACTGCAGAATATATTTAGATTAGTACTGTATTCTGCAGTTACATTTTTTTCTCTTCATTCATTTTGGCTCTGGAAGGAAACTTGGCAAATTGTAGCAACATAATTTGACCCAACAATTCTATTTCAAAGAGTTTATTCTAATAAAAAAAAATGTAGTCCAAAGATTTATGTTCAAGATAAAAGTTATTGGTAATAATGAAAATTTAAAAAGTTACCTATAATAGTAGACAGATGGTTAAGTGACCATAAGCACATAACACTATATGCCCATTAAATATTCTATTTTAAATAGTTATGACATGGAAAATACCTATGCTATAGTAAACAACAACAGCTGCAACAGCAATAGCAGCAGTCTAAAAAGAAACCTCCCAGAGTCAAACAAAAAAAGGCCTCTAAAATTAGCTATTGAAACTTTTTATTACAATCCAAATTTTATTTTTAAAGATGTGAATTACTGTATGTGGCTTAAGCAGCACAGATAGAAAACTAATTCTAAACCAGTCCTCCAGATTTTTAAGTGGTTACCTGGGATTTTAAGGTGCTTTTTTATTTTCTTATAATTTTATGTATTTTCCAAATGCCCTTCTAAGGATACATACTGTCTATTCATTCACACTTGTGAGAAACATGTAGGTGACCATTAGATGTCAAACACTCTGCTTGTGCGAAGGACACTAAAATGGACAAAACACAGCACACGTATTCTCTGCTCTTCTCGGATTGTATAATTCTTTAAAGTGAGGAGAAATCTTTTTAAAAAACATTATTTCATTTGATTCAGTATTTCTACATCTGGGAATGTATTATAAGGAAGTAAATAGAGAAGAAAGCAAAACAAAATCAATACATAGAAATGTCCAATAGAGCATTCATTCTAATATGACAGCAAAAAAATTTAGGAATCTCCTAAATACCCAAGAGTAAGGGAGTGGTTAAAGAAGTAATGGGATATTCAATTAGTGGGGTAATACGGAATCATTTAGATTATGTTTCTGAAAACTTTTTAATAATGTGGGTAAATTTATCATATTTTCCATTCTTATCAATAAAAAATAAGCTGCAAATTATATGAAATCTGACCTTAATTATGTAGTATAATATTCATAAAACAGAAATTCAAATGCTAACAGGTGTCATTTTTGGATGATGAGACAATGGCTGACATGAGTTTTTGTGTCTATGTTCTTCATATTTCCCAAATCTTTTGAAATGAGTAATATTTAATTTTAAAACCAGGAAAGCCATATATTTTTAAAGACTTGATTCAAAAGTTGTCCATCAAAAATTCAAAGATCATATAAAAATAATTTAGCATTTACTCTAGGTCTGTATTTCTATGTCAGAGAGAGGAAAGATAATTTATGTGGAGAGAGCTTAAGGTCCCTTTCTTTCTCCAACATTCTTGGGAGGATGGATGACTGTGCACATGGGAGACACACTCATCAGCAGCCTGAGGGGATGACTGCGTGATGTGCTCAGGGTCTAAGCAAGGAAATGTGGAGTACTTGAGAGGCACACAGAGACATTTGAAACCTCAATCCTAACTCTAACTTGCGCTCTAACATTAGCATATCACTGCTAATCTCTCTGGCCCATATATGCACACTACAAACCTCGGAACATTTCTTATTGCTGTCATTTCCTGCAGCTCTCACATCAGAGACCCCCTGATCTTCACGGAGCAAGGGTTACAGATGCTCAGGGTCCTGCCAAGGTCTACCTAGAGAAAATCAACCAGGGAGCCAAAATCTGGCTCTGTGCCCATGCCCTGGGACGATCCTCACCCTAATTCTAGCCCTAATCTAAGTTCCAGGGGAAAGAGCGGGGCTGTGGAACATGCTCCCGGTGTCAGCCAAAGGAAGGGAGCTGCTGCTGGTGCTTATCAGCTCCTGAATGCTTTAACTCACATGGACTGGTATGGACTCCCCAGAGCTCAGGCAAGGCCCCAACACAGTAAAAACCAGCAACTTACCCCTAATTTAGGGATCATTAAAAATACATTTGTAAGGCTAGGGTGGCATCACATTTCACTGCACTGATATTTGGTTATACCTGATGCTACAGATTTTTTTTTCCTTTTTAAGTTTATGGAGGCTGCTGTAAAAGGAGTAAGTGAATGCAGAAAGATTTGCAGGGTTACTTTACTTTCACCATATCAAGTATCTGAATACCATGGCAGCATAAAAGAAAAATTTACAAAATAATTCACTACCACTTTGAGAAATTATTTACTTTCTACACTTAAAACATAATTTGATTCACCATATCAAGCACATAAGAGATTCATAAAGGGATATGAATACGGAACCCACAATCAGCATTTAAACACCATTTCAAAGGGTGAACATATAGATTTCCCCGATTTTCAAATATTCATTGACTGCAGAAGCTGAAAAGGACTTTAAATAAACTGAGAGTCAGAAACAATCTTTATGTAAAACAGTGTAGTTTGGAAAATTTTTTGAAGTTGTCTCCTAGCTCTTTCTTTAGGTTTCTCACATTTATTTACCCCAGTAAGACATTAGAAGAATCCCTTTTAAATCACAGTGGCAGGTATTTTAAACATACCCCCACACCCCAGGTAAACATTTAATGCCTGTATGTATAGACGCACACCATCAGAGATCTAGCAAATCCATAAAAAGTCAACACCATTAAAGCTGTGCAGTTTTTCATCCTGCCACCTGAAGATTCACTCATTCCAGGTCTCCAGCCTCTGTGTTTAAAATACTAACCTTTGCACATCCAATCATCTTCTGAAACCCTAACTTGTCGGTTGTAGGAAACAAGCTCTCAGTTGTTTTTGCCAAGAACATTTCTTTGTGGACAGACAGGCTAAAATCATTGACCCTCCACAGCAATAGAAATTTAAAAGATATCCTGGGTAAGCTTCTTGGGTGCCTGTCTGCGGAGTTCTTTAAGGTGAATCCCTTGCAACACAGAGGATGTAAATTAGAATATGGAGTATTTTATGAACTATCAAAATGCTGTTTGCATTTAAATAATATTGGAGAGTTGAAAGAACTTAAAGTCCATAAATCTTTAGGAAGAAATGAAAAATTAGGAATTTTGACTATGTGCACTTAAAACACAAAGCTGCCCAAAAGAGTAGCAGGCCTGGAGGACTTTACAAAGACCAAGACAGGGGCTAGTCCCTTAGTTAAGACCTGGGTCTCACTTTTAGGCTTTAAGGGAAAGGAGAGAAGGAATATTTGGAAAAGAGCAAAACAGGACTTGAAAGGATAGGGTCAGGAAAATGAATGAATGACAAAGAAAGTTAAATTAAGAAAATGGGATTGTGTGCTGAAAGGGAGACCGGTGATGGATGACGAGAGAGAGAGAGAGAGAGAGAGAGAGAGAGAGAGAGAGAGAGAGAGAGAGAGAGAAAATGAAACAGGTAAGATCGGGGTTCCCATGGAGTTGGAGACCAGCTGGCAGTCAGTGAAAGCCCCAGGCTATTGTGTGACCATCTCCCCCTTGTACTATGCATTATGCAGCCCCAAACCTCCATAGCAATGCCATGATCCTCTATGGACACTTTTCATTTCCAGAAAGGGCAAGCTCACCTATCAAAGGCCACTGCTGTCATGGAGTAGATACTGGCAAAGACCGCTGCAATGGGGAAGAAGTTGTGGAACTTGCAGTAGAACAGGCCGTAGTACCACTCGTTGTGGACAGCATAGGTGAAGTTCACCACTGTATTGAATGCAGCCATGGAGGCCTCCGCGAAGGCCAGGTTCACCAGAAAATAGTTGGTCACTGTCCTCATTCTCTTGTGAGCCAAGATGATCCACATCACCACCACGTTTCCCACCACAGAGGTCACCACAATGATCGTATAGGCAGCTGCCCAAAGGACAATTTGCCAGGCTGGCTGCACGAACTGGTTGGGTTCTGAGGTGTTGGTGGAGATGTTTGGGAAGAGGTCTGAGTCCACAGGGAGGACGTTATCCATTTCGCAGGTTTGTGGCAAAGCTCTCCTTTCTGCACCCACCACCTGCTTTGCAGCCTCTTGTGGCAGGCACCTGAGGCTTAGGATCCTGCTTAAGCCAGACAGGAAGGAAGAAGTTTCTTTCTGGGTAGAACTCTCCTTGCAAGCTGACTTGGCGCTCAGAGGATAAATACTTCTAGATGCTCTGTCTGCCCGACCTTCGTGGCTCTGAATTCCTCCACTTTTCAGTTTCAGAAAGTATTTGAGTTCAGAATCTGGAGACTGCGTGTCCTCTGCGTTAAACTGAAAGGTGGAAAGTAGTTCCACCGGCCCCCTCTTCTAGAAAGCAAGAGAACCCGCCTTTCTGTACCTGCTTCTGTTTACAACCGCTAGATCTCCTTCTTGCGGCGGGAAAGGCAAAGTCCTGTGCTGCATGAGGACTTAGGCGGGCAAGGAGAGCCCGTCACAGCGCTACCTTTGAAAGTTCTGATTCGTTGGCCGGGATCTGGGGCTGGAGATTTTTTCCTTCGCTTTCGCAGAAGCCCTTGCCACCGCGCCGGCTGCAGCCTCGCAGGCGCCTCTTGGCTTGGGTCCTGCTCGGCTCGAGAGTTAGCACAATCTCTGCAGGATGCGCACGAGGCTTTTATAACCCGCTGCAGAGACGTCACCGGGAAGGGGCAGTACCTGGGCTGCGTACTCGCCAGTCCTCTTGCGCAGCAGCTGCGCCAGCTGTTGGCAACTGTCTCGCTTCACCGCCGCAGCCACCACGCCTTTTGGTGCTTGCTACCTGCTGTGGGCGTCTTCAAGCTGGACACTCTAGCACTCCGCAAGGGGGCAGTAGGTGGCCTGGGAGTAACGGAGCCAGATGGGGCCCATAGCTAAAACCACAGTTGCACCAGGACGGGTGTGTGTGTGTGTGTGTGTGTGTGTGTGTGTGGATTTAGGAAAGTGCTGGAGTCGAGGACGGTCAACTTCCAGGGAGGTAGCCTGGAGCTCTGGGACAGCTCTGCAGAAGCGCCTGCCAGTGTCCGTGGGAGTAGGGCAAACATGAAGGCGAGGTGCCAGCGCTGCGCTCCCGGCCGCACTCCAGCAACGCTGGCTTGTTCTGGGCTGCTGTGAGAAGAGAGGAGCTACAACTATCGATTTCAAGTGTCCGCAAAACAACTTTCTTCAGGTCGTGTTCAGGACCCCACACCCCCCCAAACTTAGCTCGCTTTCTTGGCCGACTCATTCCCCTGGGAGCACCTTCCCCAGCTACCCTGGTGATCCGGACCCCTGCCCTAGGAGAAGGCTTAGCTGAACCCTCCATCTGAGCCTCCAGAGGAGTCTGGCTGCAGGCTCTGAGGACCAGGCTGGGCTCCCTGAGAAGCCGGGTGTGAGAAGGAGCCACGCACAAGCCAGACACTCGGGTCTGGGCTCTCGGCCAACGAACTGCGGTTTCGCGCTCGCTGCGTGGGAACCTGGCGGCCTCCTCCTCGGCGCCTCGCTTGCCTAGGGACCGGGGACTTGCCGGAGGTGACTTCGTGGAGCGCTTCACTCCTACCGTGTTCCAGGTTTGCAGAGGGACTGGACTCAAGTCAGCCCTCTCTCCCCACTCCCGCGCCTCTCCACCCTGATGGACTTGAGGCTTCCGTTCTCAGTTCAAAGAATATTCAAAAGGCCAAGCTAGGGCCGGTCCCTGGAAGGAAGTGGGGAGAGGCTGGCCAGTTAGCGCGACCCGTTTTGGAGAAGCCGATGGGATGAGAACGTGTTCCAGAGGGACTGCCGAGACTCGGGAATCGAACCACTGGAGTCTTCCGAAGGCCCTTGTGCCTCCCGGCACTGACCCCTCCCTCCGCGGCAGGCGCTCGGAACTACGCGACCTGGGTGGGTAGCACCCACCTGCGCGTCAGCGGGGGTTGGCTCTCGCCCGCACCCTCCCGAGAGAGCTCGGTTTACCCACGAGCCTGGCTGTTGCGCTGAGTATCTCACACGCAGCTCTCTAAATTGACTCTTCATGCCACACTGAAGTCGGATCCCCTCACCGGGGCTGAGAATCTGCTGGTTCAGTCTGGTTTTGTTGGAGGCAGATTTCAGCGACCATAGGAGCCACGCCACGCAGTGCTCAGGCCTCCCAGGCATCCCGGAGGTCTGTAAGCCCTGCGGAGAAAGCTCGGTGCTGCTGTGAGCTCCGCGCGCCCTGATTTAGAGAGGCGGCATCGCCTATTCTCTTTTGTGGAGGGACAGCCTCCACCTTTAACTTAGGGATATTTCTTGGAGCTCACAGAGGTTCACAAATAGAAGGATGAAGGGATGAGGGGAGAGGAAAAGGAGAGGGGAAGGAGGAGGGAGAGAGCTGAAGGCGAACTACAGGCAGTGGTATAGGTCGAGAAAAGTGCTGGGCGCTGGGTGAGAGAAGCAGAAAGCCTCCCACCTAAATAGGAGGGCAGCGAGGCTGGAAGGCACTCCCTCTAGTTTTTCCTTCTTCATATTCCTTCCTTCTTCTCCATGAAGAAGCCCAAGGATGAGTTGGGACGGAAAAGACAGGTTCGAGGGAGGAGAACACGCCAGGCAAAGGTTTTGTAAGTCAAACCGTATCACTCAGCGCGCCTACCACAAAGACAGTCCAGGTCACTCAAGAAACCCTCCAGTACTACAGCCGTCGCTCTCACTTTCAAGGCTCCACTCTGTGTCCTGATGCCTCGGTAAGGCCGGCTTGGGTGCTCTCCTTCCTGTTTTAGGTTTCTGGTACACCAGAGGTACTCAGGCCTTAGGACAAAGTGTACTCAGGACGAGTTGAGAGTTAGACAGAAGGCCTCAGCCCTAGAGTAGCAGAGGTGCCTGATTCACATCTAGGCTGTGAGTAGGAACTTCCTTTAGCATCGCCCTTTCTGAAAGTAGTGCCTTTCTTTCCCACATAGGGATAACTGCACAAATGCATAGATACTATCCTACACATGCTATCTTCTTTCAAGGGCAGATATTTTTCCTTATTTTTTTCCCCTTTGGCTCCCTTTCCCCGAATTTCCTCCTTGATGCGCAACACAAGGCCACCCATCTCAAAGTAAATCTTGTTGACAAAGGAGCATAAATACTTGCTCATTGGTCCAGGTTATCTCTATCTGGACAGCATACAAACACACATAATACCCGTGTCTGTAAATGCAAATATGACTTTAACTCTTGTCTACATTTTGTTTTTCTCAGTTTTCACTTTGTTCAAATGCCTCTGAGTTAAAAGGTATAGGTTTAATTCATTCTTTTCAATGACTGTATCATCATCATCATCATTGTATAGATGTACTGTAATTCATCTTTATATCCCAGAGAATTCACTGTCTTCAGTTTTGCCACTAGACATTGCTACTATAAACATTTTTTATCTGTCTTCATACTCTTTTTCTTCCTGCCTTTTCTTCCTTCTTCATTTCCTTTCTCTTCCCTCCTTCCCTTACCCTCTTGCCTCCACCGTTCCCCTCCCCTCTTTTCCCTTCCCTTCCTAGTTCCTAGTTGTGGTATCAGAAATAAAACCCAGGGCCTCATGCATGTTAGGCAGTGATCTGTCTTTGAGGTATAACCCTAGGCATTCTTCCCATGGAAGAGATTCCAAGTGGAATCACTGGATAATTTGTAATATCAATACTATTCATATTATAAACAACAGTAACAGTATAATATTCACACTTATAGCAGATATGTATATATGCTGCATGTTTTTATTTATGCTTTAACATTTCCAGATTGCATTTTGAAAAGGTTATAATACTCTGTGTTTCGCTAACAATTAGATTACTCATTTCCTCACATCTACTCAGTGGTACTATGCTCTGGTCAAAGAATTTGTTCCATGTTAGATTCACTCCTGTGACCAGAATTGTGGAAAGAATTAAGTTTGTGAACCTAGGTACCATTATACTTAAATTTAATATTTATAATCTCCAGTCTTCCTACTCTTACACTTGTCTACTCTGATAGCAATGCCAGGTATTTCATACGATCCCCTAATTTGCCTAAACCCCTCCTCATCTCCAATTAGGCAGAGCCCTATGACCAGGTCAGGCCAATAGTGGAGATGATATCTTTCTCTTCTAGTTTGAAGTATAAAAATGGAGAGGGACAGTTGGGCAAGTGAGAAAGACAAGACACAGACAGACTTCTCCATGTGTTCTCTCTTCCCTGCCAATTCCATATGTTCTAGATGAAGTAGCTACAAGATCACAGGTCTCTGTCACCTTCACTTCCCAAAGACTGTGTAACACAGTCTTCCGCCAAATCATTATGGAAGTGTAGCATGAGCAAGAAATGAACTTTAGCTGTGTTAATGCACCAGGATTTGGGATTAATTCATTATTCACCATGTGATTGATCATCCTGACTAATACAGGAGTAAAAATTCTGTTTATCTGGCAAGGTAAATTTAACTCACTTCATGCTTTTATTTATTTCATGATATCATCATGTTTAAACTCAAGTATTTTAAATTCAAATTGTAAAACCAAACAAGGTGCACTAGTATTCCAATTAGTAATCCAGTCACAGCTACTTGGAATTTATTTGTTAATTTTGACAAAATCGACATTTTTGATATTAAGGTTTTTGTTCAATTACATTATATGCCTTTCTATTAATTCAGATCTTGTTTTCTGTCTTTCAAAAGTTTTACACTTTTGGTTAAAATAGGTCTAACCCTTTTATTACATTTATTTCATTGTATTTTAAAGTTTTGTTTATATTGGAAATGTAAGTTTTCCTTCTTAATGCTAGATTAAAGAAAAGCTGTTGACTTCTGTGTATGTGTGTACATGTGCGAATATGTGTGTTTGTGCCCTAGCAATGTTACTAAATATTTATTCATTCTAGAATTTTAAAATTTGATTCTCCTTAGTTTTCAGTCACATGATTAATACTTGTCTTTTTTGAATTTCCTTCCTGGACAAATAAATGATAATAATAATAGGTGATATTTCTGCATGGTTTTAAACTGAAGATAGTCTTAGTTTTTACCATTTAAGATAATATTAGATGTTAAATTTGCTGAACAATCATTTACTTTTAAATAGTGTTCAACTCTGTCTTTTTACCCTGTAGTGTTAGTAGAAATGTCTTGTCATTTATTTTTAAATGTTCTTTTCAGGATCTATTGATAAGATAGTATTGTGACTTACTGACACAATAGATTAAGTGGGTAGACTTTTTGATACTGATCCAAATATCAACCCACCACTGCAATCTTAGCATACATTCTGCTTGATCAGAAAACATGCCATTCATTATATTGCTGCATTCAGCTTGCTATTTTATTAACAATGTTCACATCTATTTTCCTAAATGAGGTTGGTTTATGTCTATTTTTTCCTTAATTGATCAGGCTTTTATATTAGTACTACACATCAAAAATTGAATTGGGAAATATCTTTAACAATAGCCAGAAATAATTTTAGTCTTGATCCTTGAATCAACAGCATTGACATCACCAGGAATGAGTTGGAAATGCAAATTCTTAGATGAGAGATAAAAACTGAGAGCTACTCAGCTAGAATTTCCATATAACAAGACTCTAGTGATTTGTATGCACATTAAAGTTTCAGTTTTCTAAATTTCTCAGATGATAAAAAGTCTCTTGAGGTGCCAGGTAAAGGAATATGTTATAATCCCTGGAAAATTCTGATTTTGTAGTTTTAGGTTGGTGCTGAGTAATCTGCGTTTTTAACAAGTACTTTGGATCAGCCTTATTGTCAAG